GCTAACTAAAAGAAAGAAATTATCTTTTACTGAAACTGCTTTTATAGGAAAGGAATGAATAAATGTCTTGATTGTATAAAGCGTCTTGTGCATGTTGCCCTGCCTTTATCTATTCTCACAAAATATACGCAGAAACTGTATTACGAAGTGTTTCATACTTCATGCATATTTACCAGTGATAATTTTGTTTAAACTTTACTTTTTTTATCACGACATGTGGTTCGACACTTCATTACGTGGCAGCAGTCGTACATGAAACACTTCCCAGTGGCTTCTAAAATGAAATTTATACTGCTATGAGTACTAAAGCCTAAAAGCCTGGGTTGGAATTTCTAGTGTTTACACTTTGTCTCTTATAAGGTCCAACAGTTTTCATTGTTTCGTTAATGTAAGAGCGAAATTTCGGCGTTAGGGCAGAGTATAATTCTGTATGAGATAAGTTAATCTAATGCAATACACAGAAGGCGAGCTTTGCATGTTGCTGACGACACTACTCCGGTTAATCAACTAAATTTCTCCAGAATCTTTGTAGCACGGCGAAAATATAACACATAGTGAAACAGTATTATTAACTGGATGACGTCTCGAGCATAACTTTTCGCTCATAATCACATCAGTGTATTCAGAAACAGGTATCTGATTGGGTACAGTTTACGCCATGAGCTGATATCAACTGGGGAACAGTTGGAAAACTAGTGGGTACTGAACAGCTTGTCTGTCGTAATTCGGGACTCCATATTTGATATGTTCATTATTAAAACAAACAATTTTGATAGCATTATTAGAAGACAGAGATTATCTGAAAAATATGATGTATTTGCGCTATACATTTCGAACAATCTGATCACACATTTACTTGTCAAGTCAATATATATGGAAAAGTTAAGTTAAACAAAGTGACAAAAAAGAAGAATTAAGAATAATTAACACAAACGTTTGGTAATCCAATCAAATAAGGATTACCAAGGTAGGTTAAGAGTAATAACAAACTGTTTTTGAATACACAATGGGGGCTTAAGTTTATGAATGGCTATAGCCTCAGCGTATTTCAGTAAACGTCCTTGACCGTTTTTATAGATGACCTTAAAGGCTGAGTTAACATCAACCTTATGGTTCATCTCGATTAGATGTTTAGCTATAGACGAAGTTGGTAGTCTGACACCTGCATCTATTGGCTTGTCACAATTCATCTGTTTTTCTAACCATTTTGGGATATGCTCTCCCACCCTCACGTGCAACGCGCTAATACTCCTCCCTATGTATGTATGTCCACACACACACGAAAACTGGTAACTTGTGTGGGATGTGATATAATCACTTGTGCATTTTTGAGGTTTGCAGTGAAGCATATTTTTAGCTTTTTCCACAATCACAAGCTGGGCTGCATAGTAGGTTCTAGGGATGAATTGTACAAAAGAAGTATGTACAATCCCTACTTCTGCCTTGGCCGTAGAGGATTAGACATTTATTTATTTTGTTTATTTAGTTATTCTATGTACTTTTCCCTTATTACTATGTAGCGGTAAATAATTCCCCAAAATTATTAACCACAGCAATCATCACTCAACATTGGATGCTGACCACCACTGTTTAAGTCGACTTGTTTAGCTGAAGGCTTACGGTCAAGCATCCCCGCCATTTGGTGCTCTCGTCGTGTCACGTGCGTGCACGATTACTAGCTAGCTAAGCATTCATTCCTACCCGCGATTTGGTCCCAAAATATATATCGTATTTGGACGACAAAATCTGGTCTTTTGCTTTACCATTTGGTACTCGAAGAACGAACACTATAGTGGTTGTTGGTATAAGATTTTGCGTTAGTATAATCCGTACAACACGCGAACGTCGATACCGTCAGTCTTTAAACTGGTGAGCCCTACCACGAACTACATCTTCAATTCACACGCAGATAAACCCGGTGAGTTCGTTCCTTTTTGTGTTTATTCTTGTACTATATTGTTATCGGCATACTTTTCGTCATGAGTGATCCTAGCCCCAAGGTTATTCAGATTCGCTCAACCGCCAAAACAATTCAGCTAGTACCATTTTGGCCAGATAATGCTGAAACGTGGTTTCAGATTGCTGAGTCCGATTTTTGTGAACATGGCATAACTGATCAACATTCACAGTTCCTTGCAGTTATTCACGCCCTACCGCGGGAATTCAGCAAGTGCGTAACTCTGCCGATGTCGGTAAGTAACTCGTACGAGTTGCTAAAAGCATCCATCCTCAAGAGAAATGTTCTCACAGATCGGCAACGTCTGGATGAGTTATTTCGTAACATCGAGTTAGGGGATCAGTCAGCCGTGAGCATGCTGGCAAGAATGAAAGAGATCATTGGCCAAAGTCAGTTCGATGAAGGACTGTTTAGAGAACTATTTTTATCCAAACTGCCACAGTCAGTTCAGACTGTACTTGTGACACTTCAGGGTGTTCTCATGGATGACTTAGCTGTCTCTGCAGATAGAATTCTAGAGATAACGAAACAGCCAGTCACCGAAGTATACTCTGTTACCGAACAGGCTTCGAAGAAGGATTCTGCAATGATAGAGTTAATCAACTCCGTCCAGCAGATGCTTAGGTCAAACAAGCCTAGCAATTCCTCAAACCGTCGTTCTAGATCCCCTCAACGGCAAAACGCACGTGGACGATCTAAGTCCAACACACGTTCTGTCAAAAATCCTGACTGGTGTTGGTATCACAACACCTATGGCAAGGAAGCGAAATGTTGTCGAAAACCTTGTGATTTCGGCAAAGCCTCCAAGTCTGTGGGAAACTATCCCGCCGGCACGCGTTAGCGGCAACCGTCGCCGGTGGCACTAGCCGCTTACTTTACATCCATGATGTAATTAGCCAGACTAGATATCTAGTCGACACAGGCGCCGAAGTCAGCGTCCTTCCTGCTACAGCAGCAGATCGACAGAAGGATCCTAACCTCAACCTACAGGCTGCAAATGGAAAACCAATTGCAACCTATGGTCGGAAATACGTCTATCTGAACGTAGGTTTACGCAAACCTATTCGGTGGATTTTTCTGATCGCTGACGTCACAATGCCCATCATCGGCACGGACCTACTTAATCATCATGATTTGCTCGTAGACGTCCGCCGTAAACGATTAATTGACAACACTACTAGTTTGTCTATCAAAGGCATAACTTACGTAGGCCCAAGCTTGTCAATCGTTAAGATGAAAGCAATCCCCGATCCAACTTTCCAACCGATTGTTGAAAAATATCCGGAACTGAATTGCCCATCTAACGATCTCCCGTGTATAACCAGCAATGTTATGCACCACATCATAACCTCAGGACAGCCCGTGACATCTAAAGCACGACGACTGGCCCCTGACAAACTGAGAATTGCCAGAAACGAATTCGATCATATGCTCACCCTTGGCATCATTCGGCCATCGAATAGTCCATGGGCATCCCCATTGCATATGGTACCGAAAAAGGATAGTAACGATTGGCGACCCACTGGTGATTACCGGCGAGTCAACGCCAAAACTACCCCCGATTGCTACCCATTGCCTCACATACACGACTTGACGGCAACGTTATCTGGAGCATCTATATTCTCCAAAATCGACTTGGTTAAAGCATATAACCAAATCCCGATGGCAACGGAAGATATTCCGAAAACGGCTATCATCACGCTCTTCGGACTTTTTGAATTCCTACGTATGCCATTCGGCCTCCGGAATGCGGCACAAACATTCCAACGCTTCATCAACGAAGTATTTCGCGGTCTCGACTTTGTATACGCATACTTAGACGACTGCCTCATTGCCAGTCCAGATAAGGAAACTCACCTTAGACACTTGGACTTGGCATTTGAAAGGTTACGCCAACATGGTGTTACCATCAATATACAGAAGTGTCAGATAGGCGTTGGCTCACTCGATTTTCTGGGTCACACTATTGACTGCCAGGGTATTCGCCCACTGGCTACCAAAGTCGAAGCAATACTGAACTTTCCGGAGCCAAAGACAGTAAAATGCCTTCGCACTTTTAACGGCTTGGTAAGTTATTACCGACGTTTTATTCCTAATTGTGCTTCTCTAATTCAGCCATTAACCGATCTCCTTCGAGGGAACAACAAGGCTATCGAACTCGACACGTCTGCTCGACATGCTTTTACTCAGGTAAAGAAAGCTATTGCAGATGCCACCCTTCTTATGTATCAAGATCCAACGGCACCGTTGAGTATCTCGGTTGATGCATCAGACACTGCAATCGGCGCAGTTCTGCAACAACTAGTCAACAACGAATGGCAACCACTCGCCTTTTTCTCGAGGCGCCTTCAAGTAGCTGAAACGAAGTACAGCACATTCGGAAGGGAACTTCTAGCTATGTACTGTGCTATACGTCATTTTCGACATTCAGTTGAGGGTCGTGAATTCACCATTTTCACTGACCACAAACCTCTGACGTACTCTCTGAACTCAACTTCAGATAAGTATTCACCCAGGGAATCACGACAACTAGATTATGTTTCACAGTTTTCATCAGATATTCGCCATGTTTCCGGAGTGAACAACACTGTGGCAGATGCCTTGTCACGTATTTGTTCTTTCACCCAAATCGATGGCATAGACCTTGTAAAACTGGCTCGTCTTCAAAAAGAAGATATTGAGCTTCAGCGTGAGTTGTCGAAAACAACTCTACAACTAGCCAAGAAACCCTTAGGTATAGGAAAGGATACTATTCTGTGTGACATTTCCACTAGTACTCCTCGCCCCATCGTGCCTAAAAGTTATCGCCGTAACGTCTTCAATACGTTGCATGGCTTATCCCATCCAGGTATTCGAACTACTGTCAAACTCGTAACTAGTAGGTTTTGCTGGCCTGGTATTAACAAGGAAGTAAGGGAATGGGCACAGACGTGCTTAGCTTGCCAAAAGTGCAAGGTAATAAGACACACTAAAAGCCCCCTTGGCACTTTTCTTATCCCTGATGCCCGTTTCGAACACGTCCATGTAGATTTAGTTGGCCCCCTTCCAGAATCTCATGGATACACCTATATGTTAACCTGCATCGATCGCTTCACACGATGGCCTGAAGCAGTACCCATCAAGGATATATCTGCTGAAACTGTCGCACGCGTCTTTGTAGAGAGATGGATCGCAAACTTTGGATGCCCATCTTCCATAACAACTGATCGTGGGCGGCAATTCGAAAGCGGTTTATTCTTCGCTTTGACTAAAATCCTTGGTTGCATGCGTTTTCGAACGACAGCCTACCATCCTCAAGCGAATGGTATGGTAGAACGTCTACACAGACAGTTGAAAGCTGGTTTATCAGCTGCAAATAACACCCACTGGACTGAATCCCTTCCGTTAGTTCTCCTAGGGATACGAAACGCCTTAAAAACCGATGCTGGTTGTACTACCTCTGAGCTAGTATATGGCACAACACTACGACTGCCAGGTGAGTTTGTTTCTCCCTCGAGCTTCCCACCAGTAGTAGATCACTCCTCATACGTCAGCAGGCTTACAAACGCTATGCGTTCAGTTAAACCTGCTCCCCTCCGACCACAGTCCATTGATGTTTTTGTTCACCCTTGTTTAAAAACTTCTTCACATGTATTTGTTCGTCGCGACTCGGTACGTCGTCCTCTAGAACCCCCGTATGACGGACCATATAAAGTGATTAAACGTATGGATAAATTCTTCGTTTTAGACAAAAAAGGCCGCGAAGACACCGTCAGTATCGACCGTCTGAAACCAGCTTACTTGGAAGGTAACCCCATTAGCCTGGAGCTAAACGTACCCGATAATTCACAAGTTATTGAATCTACTTCAGTCTTCGAAGAACTCCCTAGCACGGCGAAAGCCACCGAAACTTCGGTCGATAACTCTAAGAAAACGCGTTCTGGACGTCACGTTAGATTTCCAGAATACCTTCACACCTATCTCACATAACTGAGTGACACATCAATTTTTTTTATGTTGCGTCATTTAACACAAGTAAATGATATTTCTCCTATAACCGTACATAAAATTAAATTAGAGGTATATTTTTTTTCCCCGATATTTTGCACTTTACATTATTTTACTGTATAGTAGATGCATGTCATATTTTTTTGGTAAAAAACGCTTATTTGGTACATTTTTCTTGACAAGGTTCTCAGCATTCTTGTTTTCTTTTCCAGGTGCAACGGGCACTGGACAGGAAACAAACGAAGCACGGGATCCAACGAACAACATTGAGGAAGCTATGTACAGACACCCTATTAGCATAGGCAGACAGACCAGCAGGCTCTCGATCAAGCCGCTCGGAAGATTTTTTTCACCCATCAGGGAACCATCGAGATTTTTTTACTTCCGGCTGGTCATGTCTTAGGGTCCTCACAAACCCACTAGGGGGGGAGTGAGCTGTAGCGGTAAATAATTCCCCAAAATTATTAACCACAGCAATCATCACTCAACATTGGATGCTGACCACCACTGTTTAAGTCGACTTGTTTAGCTGAAGGCTTACGGTCAAGCATCCCCGCCATTTGGTGCTCTTCGTCGTGTCACGTGCGTGCACGATTACTAGCTAGCTAAGCATTCATTCCTACCCGCGATTTGGTCCCAAAATATATATCGTATTTGGACGACAAAATCTGGTCTTTTGCTTTACCATTTGGTACTCGAAGAACGAACACTATAGTGGTTGTTGGTATAAGATCTTGCGTTAGTATAATCCGTACAACACGCGAACGTTCGATACCGTCAGTCTTTAAAACTACGATTATGATTATTGTCATTATTATTATTACTATTCTTACTCTGAATCTTTTCCACTTGACCCACTTGACATTTTAAACCCAAAATTATTAATTTTTTATATTTATATTTTTATAATATTGAATTCTTTCTGATCAAATTTCACAACATGTTACGTAACACTTTATATTCGTCTACTAATCTTATAATTATGTACCCCTTTCCAAAAATCTATACACCTTATGTATTATTCTATAGACGACATTAATTATTTTGCCACTTGACATTAAACTATGATTATAATCACAAATATTTTAATTGCATTTCATACTATTATTATTTCATGTATTCACACCTTTGACCTAATTCCCTCAGCGGATATAATTTTTTAAATAATTCTTTTTTTATCACTTTGTTTAACTTAACTTTTCCATATATATTGACTTGACAAGTAAATATGTGATCAGACTGTTCGAAATGTATAGCGCAAATACATCACATTTTCCAGATAATCGCTGTCTTCTAATAATGCTATCAAAATTTATAAAAGGGACTAACTGTTTTAAAACAAACAGTGACTGAATATTGGTAATTTGATGCCATTTAAAACACAAATTATTGCTCATAATAAAATCAGTTTATTCACTCAAACTTAATTATTTGCTTTACATATATATATACATATTTCCCTAGTGGTCTGTTACCACTTTCCACATCTACAGTATAAGCGCTGCGCCATGTCAATTGCACGTGTTGGGTCTTTGAATTGATAAACAAAGATTAAGTGACTGGCTCTCTCTTTATTCATCCAACTATATCAATTTTTAATACTTTCACCCCGTCCCACTCTGTTTTGCGATTACATGCAAGTGAATACAATGCAATGGCAGAGCTTTTTTCTAAGTTATTTAAGTTAGCAGGGTCAGTCATTCTAGGTCTCGCTAAACATTTTTATGCTCCAATAATCCAATTGAGACCGATCTACTTGTTTGATCTATGCAACTGACCTGAACTACAGTCGTTATATGGTATATATTATTTTTCTTAATTGGATCTATAATGTCATTAAGCCAACAGCATTTGTCTTTGAGAAGGTTGGTTGGTTTAAGTGGCACCCTATTACTAGCCTCCTTGGCAGAAGAAGCATCAAAGATAGGACTTCAGGTGAACATAGAGAAAACAGAGGTGATGAAGATTCCTGGCCAACAACAACAACAGCAACAACAACAGACAACAATCAGCATAAATGGGAGGAACCTGAAAGAAACAACCTCCTTTACCTACCTGGGAAGCATCGTTTCAACTACAGGCGGACGGAACTGACGAAGATATCAAAGCAAGAATCGGAAAAGCAAGACAAGCTTTCACTACTCTCAAGTCTGTGTGGAGGTCAACAGCACTCAGCATCAAAAATAAGATCCGGATTTTCAACTCCAATGTAAACAGTCAGTGCTACTATACGGATCAGAGACTTGCACTGCGCGTCATAAAGAGCATCTCAAACAAACTACAGACCTTCATTAACAGTTGTCTTCGCTCAATACTCAAGATCAGATGGTCGGCCAGAAAAGATCAGCAACAGAGATCTCTGGCAATGAGCGAACCAACCAGGAACCGATTGTGAAACAAATATGCAGGAAGAAATGGAGGTGGATTGGCCATACTCTGAGGAAACCATCAAGTGACATCACCAGACAAGCCCTTAAGTGGAACCCGAAAGGGAAGCAGCGAGTTGGTTGTCCAAGGGTGACTTGGAGGAGGTCATTTAAAGAGGAGATGAAAGCATGAGGGCAGACTTGAGGCCAGGTGAAAACGTTGGCAGAGATGGGAACGCAATTGAGACGCACGGCTGAAGCCCTATGTTTCTCTAGGAATAAAAGGAAACAATAATAATAATAATTGAGAATCCTGAGTAGGGCATCTTATGCTTCTTCTTTGTGTGGCAGTACTACAGAGGCTTTGAATCCCATATCATTTTCTTCACTTCTACCATAAATCTTATTTTCCTATGGTTCTTCAGGCATTTCTGGATAAATTCTGATAGGTATTAGTTCACTATTAACATTTTCTTTATTTGTTTAATTTCATTATTTAAGCCTTCTTACTTACTTGGGCTTCTGGCCTGATTATGCAGACATTTAGCTAAACCTATCTTTATCGATTCCGGATGGGATGAATTAAAGTCTGAATACTTATTAGAGTGTGCTGGTTCCCATAAATGTTAATGTCTGCATCATTAATGACATACATTCTTAGAAAATGCAAACTGATCTATTTTTTTCTTATCGCCAATGAAATGTTTTCCACTATAAACAGTAACACTGGATTGACCTGTGTTCCATCTATGATGCCTATGAAATTTCATCACGCACTAAGATCTTGACAACAGAGAAGCTGCAACACATATAAACTCACTAGTGAAGGGAATAAATTTCACATTTGAATCAGAAACTGAACAAGGAGAATTAGCTATGTTAGATTGTAAAATAAAACAAACAGGAGCAGGTAAACTGCACGCTAGCATTCCTAAAGAAACCAACGCATTCTAATAGATATTGAGACTTCAAATCATCTCATCCGTTGTCTGTTAAGGCTAGCTTAGTCAAGTGCCTAAGGAACCGAGCAACAGCACTAACTAGTACAATAAAAGACCCAAATGGTGAAATGAAACAGATGGAAGAGGCGTTGTTATCGAACAACTATCTTATGAAATTCATAAGGAATATCAAAAAGGTCAAAGGCAAAATAAAATTATTGGTGAAACTATTAATGACAGCATAAATAAGAAAGAATCTAAGGCATCCATAGTTTAACCATGTAGGGAGGGGACATCTGAGATCCTACATAGGATTCGCAGTAAATCAGGAATAAGAGTGGCATTCAAACTTACTAACTCACTCAGATAGGAAAAGCTCTGTAGGTTAAAGGACTCGGTGGACACGATTGAACAAAATAATATGATTTACAAAATACCTTGCAATGGCTGTGAGTTAAGTCAACTACAAAGGTCAAATTAGTAGGTCGGGGGTAGTCAGATTGCCTGTCAGAACATAAGAATTTAGCTAAACCTAGAATGGTTGACCCAGCGAAGATAAGTAATTTAGAAAAAAGCTCAGTGATAGCACTGCATGCATTAACACAAAGTCGAAATTCCAAGAGTTATGTAGGTATGTGGAGAGAGAGGTTGATGACTGAATCCTGGTTCATTGAGTCTACACCCAACGCACGCAATAGAAGTGACTCAGCGCAAATACCAGAGATATCGAAGATATTATTACCAGTCAAATAAGAGTTAAAATGTGTTCAGTTCACATTATAACATTGTAACAAGTTATTTATTAATATTTTAATATGAAAGCATCTTATCTCTCTTCTTATTTTATTTGATTGATAACACTAATATTATTTACGAATTTACTTTATCCTATACTGATTTTCTTCAAATGTCTAATCAATTTTTACTCATGTATTTAAATGAAGCAAGAAAGTTATGTGAGTACCATTATATGATTATGAGCAACAAGTTTTACTCTAAACGTAAATATTAATGGATAACACTGTGATTTTATCAAAATAAAATTTTATCCATAAAGCTGCGGTGAGACCACAAAGTATTTAGATAAACATGTTTTGAGAAACCAACCTATACTCAGCACAACAATAATGGTATTTTTGGGTACGTTCATCATCTCAGATGGTATGAAAAAAGAACTATTTTTCACCTCATATATATATTGAGCAGTATAGACAGCATGTGATATCCATCTACGATCTAAGCATTCACCTGATCAGAAATATCATGCGCAATAAGTAATAACTTTATAACTATTAAAAAAATACATTCCATTTAGTTGCGTAGATACTTTAGACACCTTGTGCTTTTTGTTTGTCATTTTTCGTTAGTGTTAGTGTGTTAGACTAACATAAAACAGACATAGACGCCATAAAATACAGTAATACTAGCATAAATGCTGATGAAAATCATCTTAAAACATGTATATCATATACAGTGTCTCACAGATTGATATCAGTTGGAGAATCATTGAACGCCAGGCAGTACTGGAGGGCTATTTCTTTCTAGTTGGGAAATCATCGGAAGTATACATCCACCCCTGGGGTTCCAAACCAGAACATTCCTGTTACAAGTCAAGCTCGTGAACCTTTCATCCACTGGGATCCTATTCAGTTATCGGCCCATGAATTCTAACTTCTACTAATTTGTCACTTTAGCGCTAACACCAGCCAATTTGCCCGGCGAAAATATTCTCTCACACTGAAGGTGACTTCTCACCGGAACTCCAGGAAAGTTTATCCTGTAGCCAGTAACAAGCGAGTTAGTTTGTAGGAAATTGATTCGTTTCAGGTTTGACTACAAATGATATTGACCAGTGATTGCGTTAAAATGACCAGTTGGCTGAATACATGGGCCATTTAGCCGGGTTCCAGTGACTAAATGGCCTACGAGATCACCTTTTAACTGGAGGGTCCTGCATCTGAATCCCAGTGGGTGCGTACTTTCCACGACTTCCTAACTAGAACCAAACAGCTGTCCAGTACTCTCTGGTTTTCAATGATATCAATCTGTGATCAAATTCGAAGCAAATCAAATCCTTACAAACTAACTCCTGAACATACACGATGGGTTCAAACGGAGCCAGTTCTATGATACGTAAAAAGCGCCCATAATGGAATACGAAGCTTTGTAGGGAATAACAGATACGCACGAATGATGACGTTTTGCTGATTGGCTGGAATTTATACGTGAATTTTAATTTTCGCATTTTGTCGAAACAGAAAATTCAATGCCAGGAACACTAGAAGTCCATGAACAGCTGAAAAGTAAACCAGGATCTAAACATGACATTTCTGACTTTTTTGTTTCATGTTGTTTCTGCAGAATGAAATGCTTTCAAATGACTGTAAAAAACCCTAACTGATTGCATAACATAAATTTAAAATATTGAAATTAACATGAATTTGCACTAAATTATGCTTTA